AACATTTCGGTCCCTTTCAGCTATAACCTTGAGCTTTACAGACTGATGAACACTTTCCATCTACAGACCTGACAGGCGCGCAGAGCCCTGCCTTGTGCACCCACACCTTCAGCCTGTTGAACGACCTCAACAAACAGCAGCTAGGAGGAGCAAGGACTACAACTGACCCTATTCCAACATTTTAAAATTGAACACCAAGCTGGGCATTTAAGAAAAATCACACGAATAATGAGAATGGAAGCACTGATTGCTGCTACCACTGTTTTAACAGGCAATGCCAGAGCAAACACTGGCTTGATTTGAATCCACGGGATGAATAAAAATGTCACCAAGCATCCTGAAAATGAAAATATTAAAATTCCAATAATTATTATGTTAATGATTACTACAATTTAAAAAAACACAATATTTTCAAAAGTTTATCTGCTGCATAGCACAAATGCCACCTGAAAGAACTTGCTCTTCAGAAGATTCTACCCCTGAAAATAAAAGAGGTTGAGCAAGGGGAGAAAGAATAAAGTAAAAGGAAAAAGTCATAAATTCAGAGGAGAATGGGTTAACTTGTTTTGTTTCTGTCAGTAATATACCAAAGCCAGAATTACAAGGGAAAAACTAAAAAGAGCCAGTTTTTTTTTTATTATTATTCTTCAAACGAAAAAAAAATCAGGCCTATCTGTCACAGGGTTGTCCGGGCTGGAAGAACCGGCAGGAACCTCAAATTCCTGACCAAACCCTCTTCCACACAATGCCTCCTGAATGGAAGGAACCCAGGCCCGGCAGAGATAGCCCGCTGTCAGGAACCAGCCCTGACGTTTGCGGACAGACGGGGCTGGCCTCGCAGGATGTCAGAGCAGCAAACTGCTATTCGAGATACTGGGTTTTCACACACTCCCAGCCTGGATGTTTTGCTCTTCAGGTAATTAAACAAGGAAACGGGACTGATGTGTACGAGTCTGACCCCTGCGCCGCGGCTCCGCGGTTCTGCATATCAACTTCCGCACGAACCGCCTGGAGCATCAACAGAGTCTTCTACTCCTGCTCTCCGTCTCTCCTGCTCCCGACACCAAGCTCTAAAACAAATCCTCCTGGAAATATCTGCTGCTGTCTATTCCTTTTTTTTTTTTTCCTCTCTATTTAAGAAAGGCTAAATTACTTGCTCTGTTCCACATGCCTTGCTGCTTTCTCATAAAAAGAAGAAAAAAAGAAAAGAAATAGGTACTTTCAGGTTGCTGTTCTTCAGCCAGCCATTCAAAATATTAACCATCTGGGGAGGGGAGGAACAGACAGAAAGATGAGGCAAGGGATTCCCAAACTAATGCTTACTTTAAGGTCATCACTCAAAATGAAAAAGATCCTGAAAAGTACTTCCGATTCATCCAACCCAGTGCCAGACATACACTTATTTAGCAAGAAAATTATTCCAATTTAAGCATTATTGAAGAGTCTCTTCCAAGAGTACATAAATCATAGAACTGGACATTAGAAAAATAGCCAAGGTTTTCTCTCTCTTTTTCACCAAATTTAAGAAATGGGGAAAAGCAGGTGTTACCACCTATACTCAGTGAAAACCCTACACAGGCTGCTCTATGACTGACCTAGTTTCTATGCTCTTTAGAGGCTATTTAAACAAAAATGATTTTTTAAAAAGGTAACACATTCCTACTTCTTTCTGAAAAAAATGACAGAATAGAATATTGGCTGAAAAGAGAAGAGCCCAGAAGAAAGAGGAGTACAAAAGCATGCCTGCTTGTCTGTGTTCAACACAAAGAACATTAAATGAAAACAACTGGCACGCTGCCAAATTCCTATACAGGCAAAGAGATTCAAATAAATTGATTTCACGCATCACATTGACCTGGGATCAGTGAGCAGTGGTACAATACACTTGCTGCTCCATGTGGGGCAAAGCCCATTAACGTTATCAGAGCCACAGAACATTACCAAGAGAGGAAAAAAAAAAGCAAACAATAAAACCCAACAGAACCCAAACTCTGGAAACTCACGGGGCGGGGGGGGGAAAATTCACTTTGAAAATGGAACTTCAGTTTCAGCTGGAGTGCTTGGTTTCAGTTTACTAATAAATATATCATATCGTGAGAGCTTGTCCTCTGCTCACCTCGAAGGTTTCAAAGATTGTATTTTCAAATTAAAATAAATAATGTCACACACACACTCCCCTTACATTCTTCTTTTAACACAGTTGTTCTCAAACTAAGTTATGCTCTGTAAATTTCCTCCCTTCCCTATCCGCCAGAGTTTTATATAGATTATGGGTTATTTTCTTTGTACTTCAAAAGCTGGATTCCTGCCCAGGGAACTCTTACTAGCTCTGAAAGTAAACTGGAGAAATTGGCCACGGCTCTCAACTGGTCCAAATCCACCTGACCTACTGAGAAAACGCCTTATTTGCAAGGCAACTGCAAGCAGGGCCCAGGTTTCCTTTGCAGAGTCACCCAGGCATGCTCCCTCATCAGGAGGCATTCTCTCCAAACCAGTGTATTTTGAATTTCACTTTCTTACTACGTGTGAAGTAACCCATGCAGAGTCTCTTCTTGTCATCCTGGCTTTGTTTTTCATTAAGATCTCTCACACTCCAATCAAGAGCAACGCCAGCAAGCCACAGGTGTGCGCCACATGAACAGATGAAAATCTGATTGTGAGCTGTGTAATGATAATTCACTGTCTATAATACACTCATCCCCTTTTGCATCTGTTATATGTTATAAAGGGGGTTTATTATTTCCATTGTACTCTTTTAAGATATAGGTAAGCAAACAATTGTTTTGAAGATAAAAAATGAAACCAAGAAAAGAAGACTGCAATGGCAAAACGAAGATGCTTGATCATGCATCAAGGATGCTTGAAAGGGATCACATCAGCACAGGCAGTCTAATGCTACAAGAGGCTGTTGCTTCAAGGAGACTCAAACACATTTTATTTTGTCTTTTATTCCATTTTGGTTTCAAATAGCAAGTCAAATCTTGGGCACAGAAAAGTCCACGCTGAGTTAAACTCTAAGTGTGTTGGCTTCATCTCTAATCACTCATCCAAATTTCAATGTGGAGCTTCCTGGCCATTTAAGACTAAAATTTTTCAATGTGTGACAAACACAAACATCCAGAGGTATGACCTTGCCCAGTCACCTCATTTTAATTAAATGTCAAAATGGGAATGCCCAAAGATCTAACAGTTGCTAACCACCACTGATCACCCTCTTTTATAAAGAGCTACAAAGCAGCATTGGATTATCTTCATCACCAAGGTGAAAAGGATACCATATCGTTAACTCTGTGTTATAGAGAGGATGTATTTGTTTTGGTATAAGGCTACACTGATAGAATTGCACAGGAAAGGGTATCATTAAGTACACAGCAACTTCCCAATGGTAGAGATGTGCCTGCACCCAGGTCATATAGGCAGCCTGACCTGTCTGACGGTTAACAAGACAGATAACATGCTGTTTCCTCCTATTTATGAATATTTCAGTAGTACAACAAGATCATTTGGACTTTATAAAGATGAAGTGAATTTTAGTCATATTAATTCCCTATTTCTATAAAAATGAATAGCATTAGAAAACATGCCTTTCTCTAAGTTGTAGGAAATTTCCATTATCTTGCATGTGCTCTGACAGCAATAAACCACAGTAAGCTTCCCATTAGTATGCCAGTAGTGCATGCTTCAGGCATGAAATCTTTACTTCTACATTTATTTATTTTTAAAATCCTTTACGAAGAACCATATGGCAAAAGAAACCAACCAACAACCACCTGTACAGGGTACACTTACACTTTGAAAAATAGACTGTAGACAGAAAAAAGGAAAATTAGTCAGAAGCTATACACTGCTAAATTAGCAAAATAAAAATGCAAGAAGAAACCCTGCTAAAATTATTCATTCTTTTCCAATGCAGCCTGTGTACAGGAAGGTACCAGAGAAGCATTTACTGTTTCAAACTGAGCTAGGAACTCGAATTAGAATGCAAATTCATTTTTAATAGGATTTAATTTTTTAAAAGTATGTTCACACTGGTGCACAAAACCTCAGCCCCATCCCCTTGCCACAAGGGGATGCACAGAGCCTCCTGCTGGTTCTCTCAGTTGTGCTCCATCTCCTTTCCACACCCCCCACATAGACCAGTGTGGGCAGCAGCCTCTAGGCTGGGGAGACAAGTGATATGATCAAGGCTTAGCTGCCTTTAAAATTAACCAGAGCATAGCCTAGAGTACTCAGACACTGTTAATTTTATTTTGGTATCATACTTTATCAAAGTTATGTCACAGGCAAAATGGTCCAACACTGAGAAGGAAAGTATGAAAGCACTTTAAAACAGTTTAGTAGTTTCTTGCCATCTAGACACACCAATTTAGGAGAAAAAATGTAGTTACAGTAAAGACAGGAATGACAGTCATAGGTTATCTAATAGTTTAGTTCTGCCATACCAGATTTATTTTTCCAGTATGGTAAAAATCTTTGCACACAAGAAGCAGAAATACTTATTCTCAGTATCATCTCAGTCAAATGTATCACAGATTTCCAATGCAATGAGTTTACCAAAGGGTTCCTCTAAATTACAAACACAAGCATTTTGCCAATGTGATTACAACTGTCCCTTAACTTGTTTGAAAATACTGTTTCAATTCACAGTTCAGGAAACTGAACTTCATTACTTCCACAGCCCAGCCAAGTAATATTTACATGCCAAATAAAGAGTATCTATGTCATCAAAACCACAAAAAACAGTCAGAAGTTTCACATATATGTATTTTTAAACTAAGAAATATCTTAGAAAAGTCATCACTGAGGGATTTTGTTACTGCTGTACTCTTTCTCAAGTGATATTAAAATGAAGACACCACCTTCATGGATTTAGGCAGGCTCTTTGGAGGCTAGAGAAAGATTTCCTTTTTAATTACAGTTTACAATGCAAGGTACAGTCATTAAAAATAACTTCTAAAAGGTATGCACATTACAAAATCAAGCATTTTTCTGTTCCTTACCTTGACAAAATTCAAAGTTCCCTTTTTTCCGGCAGTCACCTATCACTAAACTCAGTGCTCTCCAAGTGTTTCTTTTGACAGATATCATTCTCCACCAATCGCTCTGCTAATTTCCTCTTTCCTTTTCTGGCTGGGACAGATATTATGTTCACCAGCCCAGAGATCAATCTTTTCTATTGACAACAACAAATGAAAAAAAAAAAAAAAAAAAAGCAATATCACAGCCAGTTTGAAGCACCACACCCCTTCATTTGCATGATAATAGCAGTCTTTTAAATAAAAAGGGAAGACAAACACTATCATTCTAAATCAATTACCCACATTTTCTTAGTCAATATAAGGCAGTACTTTAAAACTGTATTAATTCTTCGACAAAGGCTGTTTCATAAGTTGATCATTTAAAACAGTTGACATATAGAGGGAAACAAAGTAAGGGCAGCCTGTATTCTACGATGAAAACATCTATTACCTAATTCCGTAAAAATACATTCATAGAATATAAAATATTACATACTTTACCTGGTTCAACAGAAGCTCTAGAGAATCATTTATTAAATAAACATGGTTACTAAAAATAGAGTCCTTGCAATTACACATCGCTATACTAATTTGGATATGTAAGTGACAACAGCAAACACATTTAAACAAAGAGAGATCACAAAGCTATTGATATATATTTACAAATCATCCTCCCACTTTTGAAAAGGCAATTTCCCTCCCACTCCAACACCTACAAAAACTGTTTATTTGGGTTACAGAAATACTCTGTCATTTGTATGAGTCTGTATTGCAGCGTTGTCAGTTTTTCCAAGACATTAATATGCTTTTCAGGGGTTTGTAATCACGTCAAGACAGAAAGGTTTTCTGAGCCAGGCACACACAGTTACATACATGCTTCAATCTGCATCCACTATTCAGGTATTTCGGGACGTAAAGTTAAGCATGCATAAGGATCTGGTCGCAGCTGCATGCATTTAACCAAGAACCCAGCCCCAACCCTCTCCTGGACTAGATCTTACTGCAAAAAAATGTATCGCCCAAGGGCATTTGCAAAAGATCACATTTTGTGTTTGCGCTAGAAATTGCAATCTTTCCCACAAACAAGCACCCTCCTCGAATCAAAACAAACCTTCACAAGTTAAAGTTAAGGTTACAGAACAAAGGATCTCACCACTTAAAAGTCCTTTCTTTCCCGTGTTCGTGGTCAGACATTTCCCGCAGCCCTGACACAAGACAAAATTCTATTGATTTCAGTGAAAATGAGAGGCACGTAAGAACTGCGGGACTCTACCCAGGATTTGGCAACTGTGAAGCTTCCAATATGACAGAACTGCCTTTGGCATTGGGAAAATAATCTCAAAAATGTGGTTAGGACTCCCCAACTTGGGTGCAATAACTACTTCTCTAAAATTATTTTAATTTTCTATGAGGTCCTCTAGTTGTCACCACGTTCTTATTACAGGCAATAAATTCACCTTTCAGTTGCACCTTATCATGAATTGTGTATTTTTCAATTGTCCAGACTTGCATAACACTTAACATTTCCATAAATGCATACAACACTCTCTAAATTGTTGTTATTGTTTGATCTGATTTTCATGGCCATAAACTCATGCCCCTACCAAAACTGAAAAATCCTTCACAGACCAAGTGGCCCTATTAATTTCACTGAGATCATTTAAACATTAAGTTTTCTACCAAGTGACGATAGCACAATCTGGTTGAAATATGGGCTTACAGTGGAACATTAAATTAACATCATATTTTGGATTCAGAATTACACACAGCAGCCATCTGTAAAGATGTATCCATGTTTTGCTAACCTTTACTAATTTGGCCACTAGAAATAATTATGATCAAATATGTTATATTATGTAACATATAACAATTCAATATTCATGTCTGCTAAATAGCATACTCCTTTTCCATGGCTGATAAAAAAAATTTTTAAACCTCTTACTGTAAAAAAAAAAGTTCTTACTCAAAAAAAAGTACCCATCTGTAGTCCACTTTACAATGAAGACATCACTTTAACTTCTCTTCCTTTGTTTCAGCCCCATGTTCATTTTCTCTGTATGCCACATTTTCTAAAGTGATGGATGCATTCTGCTATACTCATTCTAAGCTAATCTCCTTTTTAAATTTTATTTTTGCCTCCTGAGTTGTAAACTACCGCTGTTGTTCGAATGTACATGCAAAATTGTCTAAAGTCTGAACTTCACTGAAAGTAAAATGCCTCAAACAATTTGTAGTCTTACAAGAGTGTTACAAAAAAGGATCAACATGTTGTATTACCATGGAAATTTTGAAAAACATACTTTCCCAAACAAATATTACTTTTTCTCAATGGTATGAAGTAATGAAAACCACATGTGTAAATCTGCAATCCGTGCAGTAGTTCAAGCTGCAGCTAATAGAAAATACAGAGAGTGAACTCTGCCATATAAAGGATTCTTGTTACAGAAATATAATGTGAAAACCAGATGCAGACAGAAAACCTTAATCACAGATGGGAATGTAATCACTGGCATACAGAATACTTTTTTGATCAATCTCAACCATATGAGAAATGTATTTATTTTCTAAGGAATGCAATAACTCGAGAGAGAGTCTTCTATTTGAATTCAGTTAACCTCATATTCACAGTGCTTTTATCTTGTATGTGGAGAGAAGGGGGATGCAACCTAAGCCAAGATTTTTAGAAGAGCCATTGGCCCTGACAAATCATTCTTGTATCAGCTTATCTTTCAAGGAATTAATAGGATGTAAAGAGTACAAATATCAGGATCAGCCTCAAAAGAAATCAACCATTATTGCACTTCCTAGTTACTGCCAGAAATCTCTTCATCACCTAAGCACTTCTCTGGTTAAATTTTTCCCTTAATATGTGGTTTTTCAGAAAGACAATGCTAAGAGCAGCACTGTTGCACTGAAGTTCTGCGAATCAGAACTGGAGTCCTACACCAGAGAATCTCCCTACTCCTTTACAAAAGCTGAAGAGTCATCGGTTCAAACCTTAAGTTTACTTTGGGCTTCCTTCCAACTGCTGGAAGTCCCAGTGAATGCCCTCCACCCACACAGCTCGTGGGTGTCAGCGGGAAACAAAGCACCGCAGCACACTGTAGCTATCCCGTTACATCCAGTGTCTAAAAGGCAGACTGCCTTCTACCAACTATCCAGACCAAGGTAGGACCAAGGTGACTCCTGCCAGTTTGTCACCAGTTGTGTCGCTGGTGACACTTCTGCTCAACTTTTAAGAGCTGGAAATACTACAGTAGTAGTAAACTCCTTATGTAAAATATGGAAATTGCCATTAAAATCTGAAAATCAAGGTCGGAATTCAGGTCACTGATATGCTTCCAGCAGGACCTACCTACGCTGTTACAAAGGCTCAGCATCTTCAAGTAACTACACTCTTACAGTTCATCATCCAATTCATGTAAGAATTACATTTACCTAGATAAATTTTACACCTGGTGACTGAACTGGACTGTTACATTAAACTGCAATATAAAAGAAAATCATGCTAGGAAATAAAACTTAAGAAAGAAAAAGCATTCAGTGATGACAGACCTCCAGGCTCTTGTGTACCAGCAGGGGTAGTTTACCTCCTGGCAATCCCTGATCCCTGCTGCACTCTCCTCCTGGACATACCCACTCTACCCAATAGTACCACAGCTCTTGACACAACACTGCCTGACTGCCACAGCTCACAACCGAGCTTATTAAGGTAACCCGAAGTTGGTATTAGTTTAACAGTACTGAATAACATAAACCACAATGATTTGGTAGCTGTTACACCAGAGGGGAGAGGGCGTGACAAAAGCCTTTGATGGGCACAGTATAGGCAGATTCTCCCCTCTCTCTTACTCTCTTAGAGCCTTGAAATCCCACTACCATCATCTCATTTTAGGTAACTGCAATAAGAGGGTGCAGGCTCTTCAGTACCCTACCACAGGACGCCCAGCAGTGGCTCATCACAGATGTTCGTTGGACAAACTGTGCTGAAGTTCCTGTAAATGTGCTTCCTTAACTGGATGTAGGTATGCTAAGTGAAATTTGAAGTCAACTACTTCCTTTTTCCCTCCTGTGTCAAGAACCAGCAAACGATTTGATGAAAATACTTTGATTCCACCACTGCAACAGAAGTTTTTTAAACCATCTTGTCTCTTCTGTCATTTAACTTTTAAATTTCTGAGACTGCAGCATCGATAGGTAGTGCAGAAGTCAACATTTAACACTAAAGTAATACAGGCTGGATATGCTTGTCTTATTTCTAAACAAGCATGCCTAGATTAATAATAAACTTTGGCCAGATATATATTTTAATTTGCATGTTTTTCATACAGCATCATCATCATGTGTGTAGAGTGCTAAAAATGGAGTGAAATCTTCCAGCTGTAAAACAGTTCCACGTGACAAAACAGAGAGGGATCCTAAAAACTCCTGCTTCATGTCATGTGTAAGTGTGTGTGCCTGAGGTTTTTTTTCCCCTCTCATCTAATTTCATCTGTGAGAGACTCTCCCTAGAGGACAAGAGAGAACCAATTATATCCAGAGGTTGGTTTCTCCAAAATGAAGGCATCTGTTCCATGCCAACGACTTCCACATGGAAGAAAAACAGAACTTTGAAGGCATCTGCGTTCATGGTTGACAGTCGCAGATCTTAGGGTCTACTGTAATTGCCCAGCTGCAAACATGAATTGGTTGCTGCTGCTGTCAGCTGATCTCCTTGCACTAAAAAGAAGGAAGCTTAAATAACAAAGATAAAAATCAGGTATTCTTCCACAATACTGACACCTTTCCCCTTCTGAAGGAGGTATTTTTCCTGGTACAACAGGTTTGATGGAAGTAAATTGCAAAGTGGGTTTTAAATGAACATTTTACAAAATATTCTGTTTAAAATCTTGTCTAAAATGCTGTTCTTTAAATAATGTACAGGTCCAAGCACAATGTGCTCATTATTTGTTAGTATTTCAGGCTGATATTGTGTAAGAGTGATTCAGAAACCAATATGACTCACCAGCCACAGTCCTGCAGCCCACCTTATTTAGGCAAGCAGTCTTCAGTAAAACCAAGAGTACACCT